TCCCCCTGGTGGGGGGGGGGGCGGTGAGGGAACTGCCAGGGGCCATTAACAGCATAGCACTGGGGCTGGGGAGGTGGTTCTCTAATATCCTTAAGAACTGAGAACAGTGGACAGTACTGCCCCATCTCGCAGGTGAGGGAAGCAAGGTGAGGGACGGGAAGTGATGTAACAGAGGTCTCAACGACTGATGAGTGGCAGGATGGAGAATAAACCAGACTCGATGCCAGGCTGCCTGGTCTGAGTAGGCTTCAATTGATGATCCACCCCTCACTGCAGACCCAGAGGATAAAGGAAGCATGGGCGGGGGTGTGTGGTGCAGCACACTTCCCCAAAAGCCGGGGAAGGTGTTGTGGCCTTGGCCTGCAGCAACATGCAACCTTCCTTGGAGTGCTTGCCAGCCTGCCTCAGGGCTTTTCCCCACCACGTCCCTGCAGTTTCATAACTGCGGGCGGAAGCCCCCAAGGCCCTACACAGCCTCGGCTGAGACAGCTCACCCCGCACTCACCCCATCTTCTAGACCCCTCTCGTGACAGCGCAGGTCCTCCGTTGGAGTTCTTACTCCTGGCAGCCTCAGCTCGACGCTCTCCTCGCAGGACCCCAGAGTAGGCTGCTATGAGGGTCTTCATGCTGAAGCCGGTGCGTGTCACGGCCCTGCGGTATGCCGCCTCGCCCCGCGCCCCTGGCCCATGCGCCGGCCGCGGGGGCCAGGGCTTCGCGCAGAGCACGGGCGCCGGGGGCTGCACCCAAGCCGGGGCGGCTACAGAGCACGGAGAGGGGCCGGCTGCCCGGGCGGAGAGGCGAACAGCACGCGCTGAGCCGAGCCGGCCACTGCGGTGCGTTAGGAGCGCAGCCTTTATAACCTCCCAACGGGGCGGGGCGCGGCGCGGGGCGGAGGGACGGGGCGGGGCGTTCCACCCGCGGCCTGCACCATCTCTTCGCGGGGGCAACGCTCCTGGTTTCGTCTCGGCACATGCCCTGGCGGCGTGGGTGCCCCACGAGGGCCCCTGCTGTGCGCGGACGAGGCGATAGGGTAGAAAGATGAGCCTCGGTGGGCTTTCTTTCCGAGGGGCGTGCTGGGTCATTCCGGGTGCTGCATCATTGCGCCCCCAGCGCTCCCCCGGGGAGGTTGGTATGGCCAGGAGCGAGAACGTGGGCCAGGAAACCGAGCACGTGCGGACCAGTGGGTGTCAGCGGCTGGAGTGCTTCCTCCCGCAGCGCGTGCGTTTTGCTGTAGGCATGGAGGTCCTGCCACTTGCCAGTGATTTGGGGATTAGCTAGGGCAAGGCTGAGCTGGTAAACCGCCCAGAGCTCCAGTGCTGTTTCATCTGCCAGGAAACCTCGCGAACATCTGTGGCAATCCTAGCTCGATCAGCTTAGGTCCCGACCCCAGGATGCATAACGTGAGTGAGACTGAAAGCTACAAAGACTGTCCCGTGCACATGGGGACTGTGCTGGGTGAGAGAAGTCAGGGGGCTCTGGGACTACAGAGGAGGGAGCCATGCTTTGGGCTAGGGGCTGAGTGCACTTCCTGAAGCGATCAGCACAGAGCACCTTGGGAGTCGTTTTGGCCCTGCCTTTTTTCACTCTCAGTTTCCATATCTGTAAAATGGGAATAATTATTCTGTGAGGTGTTTTGAGATGAGGTAAGGTGTAGGTGCCTCGTGTAAGTGCCTGGCACGTGGAAAATGTTCCAGAATTATTGTCTTTGTCCCACCGGTGAGTAGGAGTGTTGCAGGTGGAAGGTGTGGGGACAAGGCAGAAGGACAAGCCTGGTCTTAGAAAAGCCAGCATGTCTGGGGCAGCCCTGGGTGTCTGGCATTTGGGCAGCTGTGTGAAGTAAGAGAGGCTGAAGCTTGTTCTTAGGAGAGTCCTCGAGAGCCCTGGAGACACTGTGGGTGGGAGTGAGTTTTTGAGAAACCTTGGACCAGCAGTTAGCGTAATCGCTATGTCTCTGGACTCCGACCACAATTTGAGTACCAGATCCGGTGGCTTAAACTCACGCCAGGCACGTGTGCATGCATGCCCAAGATCCCGAGAGGAGAATGGAGGAGAAGGGATTGCAGCATGGCCATCCCCCCGGGGGATGATTTCTCGCTTTCTGTCTCTCTCTGTCTGGCGAGTGCACATGCCCTATAGCAAAAACCTCTCAAAATAAAAAAAGAGAGAGAGAGAGAAAGCTTTAGTAGGGAATGGCAGTGGTGGGGAGTGGACAGCAGGGGCTGTAGGTCAGGAGGGCAGGGGAGAGAGTGACCTCGGCAGTGGTAGAGGGAAGGCTTGGTCTAGAGGAAAAAGGAGGAGGAGGAAGCAAGGTCTGCCAGAACCTGGTGCCCTGACTCAGTGGATGTGGAGGAGGAGGAAATGGGTGTCAGCAAAAAGACAGATTTCTAGGGCAGAACTTGAGCAAGCTGGCTATGGGGCTGCAGGATAAGAGGAGAGGGCTGCTTTGACATGTTTGCCATCCCTACATGGAGGAGGGGAGAATGACAGAGGACACAGGGCAATATGCAACCAGAGCCACTGGTGGGACCTAGGAACACTTCCATTTGTGCCATCATTTCAAGGCCACAGGGGCCAATCTCATCAAGAAAATGTCACAGGGCCCTGTGGCCGGAGTTGGCGTAGAGTAGAAGGAAAAGCATTCTGGACAGAGGGACCAGCAGAGGTGTAGCCCTGAGGCTGGAAAGCACTGGGTGCCTTTTAGGAACAAGAGGAGGACCCAAGGGACTGGTGTGTGCAAGGGTTGGGAGGTAGAAACAGGTGTGGTATATTTTTTTGAGTCAAGAGGAGTGTAGCCAGGTGGCTGTAAAGGTGCCGGTGAATTTCGTACTCTCTCCCCAGAAATGTGCACTGGGAGGCAAGACTCCTGGACTGGGCTGGAATCCTGGCCTTATCTACTCACCTCGTGCTGTGACTTCAGGGACAGAGCATGGGCTGGGAGGCAGGAAGCCTTGGTTCCAGCCTCTTCTCTACCACTGACGTGACAACTGTACTTGGGCAAGTCACTGTCCCTGTCTTGAGGTTTCAGTTTCTGCATCGTGGAATAGAGCGACAGTTCCTCGCTTATTGACTTCACTTGAGTACCTGAAATCACATGTACAAAGGTGTCACCACTCTGCTATGGAAAATAAGATAGCATTATCTTAAATGACAACACTCCGTGTCACCAAGGCTACCTGGACACATTATCCCAAGTTCTTCTACTTCAGCACATTTCTTTCTGCACCTTCTCTGGACCTAGCCCTGATTAGGACACAGGGAGGAATTAGACCCTGTTCTTGCCTTTGAGGAAACCCAATCAAGAGATGGTGTCCAAAAGCCAGTGGTTACAAGACAGTCAAGGTGAGGCATAGGGTGACATGGGACACGATGCTGAGGTCAGCCCTCCCCTCCTGTCTCTGCATTGGGAGGTGCTCTCTCTAGTAGAGGGGCTTGGTAGAGGGGCTCCATACATGATGGCCTGACCAATACACATCCCAGAGAGTCATAGAGGAGGAGGGAAGGGTAAATTGGGTAGGTCGAGAGATGACCTTGCTCCTGGACCTGAGATGACAAGACTTATCCTGCCAGGGGAAGGTGAAGGGGGTCAGACAGAAGTTAGAGCATGGGCTGAGGCCTAGAGGTGAGCACATACACCCTTGCAGCCACCTGCAAGAGGTAGTCACCACCCCACTTTGCAAGTGAGGTGCAGAGTGGTGGCTTGGCTGATCCAGGGTCACACCAAGAGTGAGTCGTGAACCTGGGCTCTTACTCGGGCCTCTCAGTCTCAAGCCCTGTGCTTCCAGACTTTCAAGGCTGGGAAGAGGGACTACCTCTTGCAACAGAACCACATGACAAAAGCAGTTCCTACCCGTTGCCTCCTCCAAGCTCCCCGAAGACCCTGTAAGACTGTTCCCATTGGTAGATGGGAAAACTAAAAGCCAAAGAATCTAGGAGTTTGCCAGGTATGATTGATGGGTTAAAGATTCAAACAGTTCTCGTGGCTCAAGGCTAGGGCTCATTGGGGTTAAACTCACTCCAGCACTCAACTTGCTTAGACAGTGGGAGGCAGAGGTTCTGCAAGGGAAGGGCAACCTGGCCTGGCTCTCTGTTGCAAAAATGCACCCACTCCCTCCTTTTCCACCCAGGAGTTTTCCAGAACAACTGTGATGTGGCTGCATTCTGCCTGGGACTCCTGGCGTCCCATTTCCAAGTCTCTACTCTCTCTTCTTTTGGGTGACTTCTCCACATGCTGCTTGGTCATCAGGAGCCCAAGGCCTGGTGCTATATAACCTAAGGTCTGGACTTAATCCTTGGATCATGGGGAGCCACACAGTTTGTAGCAGGAGTGAGGTATGGTCAGGTTTATGCTTTCTAAAAATCACTGGTAGGGAGCCAGCCCTGTAGCCTGGTGGCTTAGGCAGCCAGATCCCATATGACTGACCTCAGTTTGAATCCTGACCCCAGCAATGTTTTCAATGTTGGAAAATCATTGGGTATGTGTGCATTTATGCCCCAGATCCTGAAAGGAGGGAGAAATGGGGGAGAAGGACTTATGGTGTGACTATTCCCTATGGGAGTGGGAGGTGCCTTCTCCTCTCCTCCTTTCTCTCTGTCTCTGTTGAGCAACTGAACAAAAAAAGATCATTGGCAGGAACTAGGCTGCTGGCCGGTGACTAGGGGACTAGGCCTCTAAGGAAGAGGGTCGGAGTGATCAGAATTGCTACCACAACCGTGAGCAGGAGCAAGAAGCAATTTAACTGCAGGGTAAGGCACATACTAGCCAGGGGTTCAAACTGTGATCACCAGGTGGGATGTGGCTTCTCTTTGAGCTGCACATTACCACTGCACAGAGCTAGCCAGATGGCTGGATTGTCATTGGCACCTTCAAGGCTTTCAACTGCATGTGAGTTTTGGCCCTCTGTGACTATAATGAGTTCAGGAAGATCAAGCCAAGGAACTCTAAGCTGAAAGGAAAGAGAAGCGAGTCCTTAGTCGGTGCTGCAGATCTCAAGGACAGTAGGGGGACCATCCCCCAGATAGTGGCATTTCCCAAGTGCACTTGCCGGAGCTGTTGGGGACTCCAGGATGGGCAAAGCTGTTAGCAGAGAACGCTGGCCCTAGGCTTCTGCAGGACTTGCTTGGCCAGGCCATGGGGTTAGTGGGTCATTCCAACGGGGTGACTTTCTAAGGAAGAGACACTGTCGCAGCCACTGCTGCCACAGTGAGTATTGCAGGGCCCAGCCCAATACCAGCCTCGCCCAGGGTCTTCCCCCACCTGTGGACAGAGAGGCAACCCCTCAGGCAAGATGGGCCTGCCTCTTGGGGTGAGGCCTCCCATTGGTTCCCCAGCAGGGATCTCCTCTGGACCAGGACACCAATGAGCATGCCCCCATTTGGGGAGGCAGACCCCCTCTAGGGAAGTAACTCCCTCCTCAGGCCTTCTCTTACCTGTGGCCACAGGGACGTAGCTCCACAGGGGCATGAGCTTGATTCCCAGGTGACATTACCACAGACCTGTTTGTTATATTGTTGTTCAAGGAGTCTCACCTGATTTGCCTTACAGGGAAATCCCACAGGTTGTGCATAGTCCTTTATGTCCTTGTGGTCTATGAAGCTGGTTTGTATTAAACTCTTATCTTACTTACGGGAGACTGGCGCGGCAGTAATGCACCTGGAACCACATGGGAAAGATACTGGGTTCCTGGCCCGGGAGGTTCCTGAACATGCTGGGGGGACATGCGAGCATGCCTGTGATCCCAGCCAGCTGAGACTGCAGTGGATTGCAAGGCGGGGACCGTACTCGGGGCACTTGTCTCTGTCTTGCTCCCTGTCTTTTTCTCTCTCATGGAAGAAATAAACTTTTTT